CAATTCCAAATGACGGTTTCGCAAATGAAAATTATAGTTTCTCAAAGCTATCTTAAAATGGTATAGAAGGCTTGAACAGTACAGCGCTGATGAGATCAACGAGACAGCTTGAAGCGATACCCGGACATTTTGAACTTGGACAGCTGGTAATGATATTCATACACGTTGAAATCCCCAGGTTAAAGAACATTGAGGGTGTGAGATGAACAAGCGCATACACACGGACTCCTGTTTACATAGTAATTTTCATCCAGTCACGTTGTGACCCGTGTTTCAATAGAACTGACGGAATCAATTAATTTCGTAATTATTTTATTCTCACGTAAATCCTACTCAATCAATCGTCAAGAGAAACGTTTTCCATAGGGTTACTTGCTACACCCTTCCTACTATTCTTTATCTCTCAACTCTGTCTATTACGTTCTCCAATTTATGTTTTCTATCAGTCCTTTCGTTTTGCTAATTCCCTCGGCGTTTTATGTTCATCCAAAGAATACTTTCTCTGTTGGTCTTCATTTCCATTTACGCAAAGCTGCGTGCAACTTTACATTACTGTTTCATCTCAGACGTCTTGAGATACGTCATTTTCCGATTTTTATACAACGATCAAACTCACCCCTGCTTGAATTCTGCTTTCATGCGTCAGTTGAAACTCTGAACCCTGCGTTTTCAAATTAAGGCTATCAGACCATCAACGAACCTCTAATTTACAATCGGCTTCCAAACGTCAGGCAATCGCTTTGAGATTTTTCATCTACCAATGATGTGGTGGTTTCAGTTCATTGGAATTTGCTTCACCGTTTCCAACCCTCTTATCGGTTGCTCGTTCATCCTCATCGTAGATGACCAGTCAACCCACATGCGATATCCGTCGAACGGTGGTTTTCTTATCACAACCCATTTATATCGTTGAAACTGATTACCGAATTTATGAGTCACATGACCGGTTGAATATCGAAAATAAACTAATCGCGTTAATGATTCTAATTTAGCCAGTAGGACATAGATCTGTTGGAACGAGAGCAGTCAACTTAGATTATGCCGTGTCAAAAAGGAATGGCATGCTAACTGTTGATAGCTCCCTTTCCAGTTTCCTGAATACACTACAAGTATAATGTGTAATGTTTTACTACACCAACGCATCGGCATGAAAACAACAACAATTGTACGCAGAACATGAAGCCTTTGAAATCGCTTTCCCTAAAACAATAATCTGTCTAAAATAAGTGTTTCGAAAATTGAAGGGCACTAAGCTGTTTTATGCGTTCGATGCAAGTTGATGATGAAGGAATTACGAAAGGCTCTCAGTCATCTAACTTCATTGACTTTCTCGATAGATATTTACAAAAATACGGGAAACCGCAATTTCAACGTGCACTCATTCGATTGATGTATCAAGTAACTTTGTCGGGTGTCGATATTCAAGCTCGAGACTGTCTAGGTCGTACAGCCTTGGTTGTAGCTGCATACACCGAAGCGATAACCGAATCCACTGAAGACGAAGAAGATGATGAACACTTGTATTTGGTAGTGAAAGATGGAAACGAGGTACCGGAGAATACTCCTGTGCCTCTTGCATCTAGTCGAAAGCACAGCGCGTACGGAAGCGAGCACTCATTTCATAGGGATAATTCAAGGGACCCGGATGAACCTAACTACCCACGATTGCCCGAAGAGAACAACACAGAATCTCTGTCCATAATACGCGACCGGAATACAGATCGTATGGACAAGGAAGATGAGAAAACGTTAGACCAGTTTCTTTCACAACGAGGTTCCATTATGATGTTCATGGAAGAACAAGAACAACTGAAGAAAATCCGACAATCAATTCAATTGATTCAACTGCACAAAGACATGGAGAATGCTGTACAGAGAGTTCGGAAAAAGAAAATTAATCGTGAACGAGCGTTCTGTGGCATTCCCGTTCCGGATCAGAATTTGATTGCAGTGCTCATACAACTTGGTAAGATGAATTTTTCTCAGATATTCTTTGAGCTATTTTGATTAATTACAACTGAATTTTTTAAGGAGTCTCCATATGATACAATCAATTTATTCACATAATTCCAAAAAGCACATCATCAAAAGGAACCCAAAGCATGATAAAAACTCAAAAGAACATAGGGTCTTGGAATTATGCGTATGCTTTATCCAGTAACATAAACCAATAGGGAAAACGCCACACATAAGGAAAATTGTGACGTGTCAACGTCAATTATACCCTCGATCAATTCTCCGTCCCACTCGCCGGCGCTTAGCTATCAGACGAAGACCAGTGTTACGTCACCCACATACACATGCACACACGCGGGTGCTCGCCCGCTCGTACACGCACACAGACACCGCGACTCATTCTTATTGGTTGACCTGTTAATCATTATCTTATTGTAGATTGTCATGTGACGCATGATTACCCAGTAAAGCTACGAGCTCTTGACTATACGTGTTCTGTGCCTTGTCCTCCGGGCTAATTACGGGTCAGCTTGATTGAGACTAACGAGAACTAATGCGGTGATTCTTCTCCGTAATATGTACCATTGTGCGTTTCGTCGTCACATGTCATTGAAGCTGCTTCCTTGTGCACCGATGAAGGAATCAGTTGTTCATCCAATCGATCTATGAAAAGTCACTATAGTTAGAAAGGTGACTTGGCTGCAGTTTTGCAGAATCGATTTATCGGGTAAACGTACCGCAATTTAGGATGGAAAACTGCTGGATTCATCGACAACCACAGTCTTCAAAATGGCTGAAAATTCACATACCAACAGATGAAAGTGAACTGGTTTTGGGTGCAAAACCTATTGTGGTTTGATTTGTACTCTTACTGTACAACTCAGGACTATATATATTCAGTAGTTTACCCCATTTTCCATTCAGTTCATTCAGACAGGTAGTTTGTAAAGATTTCTAGTTGAAAATTACTAGAACTTATTAATCAAATTTCCCTAACATTGTTAGCTTATAAATTCAACCGAGATTGGAGCAACTCATTATTATTATTATTATTCTACTATTATTATTATTCAGGGTGGACCTCACTTATTCTTGACACTCTATAGAAGAGAAGACTCTGCTGGCATCATATTACATTATCATATTTACCGCTTGTCAAAAACCAGGCTGTGCACCAAACAATACACCAATTAAATGTTAGTCTGGAAATTGGTCCAGTTTGTACTATGCTATATACAAAAGATACAAATGTCCCATCTTCTAAAGCCAAACTAAACTAATCTCAACCTTCAAGTCCTAAGGTAGGTTGTATTACTGATAACCGAAAGCAGTAGTTATTAGATGGGTAACATAAATGCATATTTATCCGCAACACAAACTACGGACTGTGCCTTGAACTTACACTTTTTTAGTGGGCGAACCGAAAGACTAAGATCATCCTTACACCTCAAGCAAATTTCGCTTAATGGCTTGAAGGTATTTCAATCGAAAATGTGTATTCATCGTTATTCGTTGTTTCGTATAACCAATTTCATATACAACAATCACTATTCACTAAAGAAGCCTAAGATCGCAGAAAGAACCAATGATTTGAGAAATTCGGACAACGACATTGAGGTTTAAACACGAGAATATGAAATAATGCGCTAATTACCTGCACCGTTTGCTTATCACAGCTCATGTCGTATTGTCACATGTAACTTGAAATGTACATGATCCATCAAAATATTAATATGGCATGATGGTTTTCAGGCTTCCTTTACTAAGGTAACGTTCGAGTTGTATTGTTACCTTTCTTGTTCAGTTTTGTGAATCAAGCTTGTTTTCAGAAAACCGGGTAAAAACAAATTGTAACTTCCTTTCATGGTATCGAATTGCCAATGGTTCTTCTGCGGATATCCAGACCTAAATATTCAGATCTACAGAATCCTAGTACATTTGTCCAAGAAAACGTGACTTCTCACATAGTACACGTTAGATGCCTTTAATATCAGAATCTTACACCCATAGTTGTGCAGACAAAAATGAGTGGTGCCAAATGACAGCAGTCCTGACCTTTTTCTATCATATAATTTTTCGAAGGTTATCTTGAGTCCTCCCATTGTTTTATGAAGATAACATCGGAATTTCTCATTTGGCATCGTGCTTTTAGAGCTTTGGAATTAATAATTGCAATTGCACCCTCAATTCTGACCTTTCAGTGAATTATGAGAATCATTACGAGTTCAAAGGTTACCTTTGTTACCTTTGTCATGAACCATTCACCTAGCGAGCTATAGTGTTTCCTTGAGACATGTCGTTCACTATGCATTACTGGACTGGGCGATAGTTGAGTTACATGCAATCTTTCCTTCTATTTTGTTGGATTGCTTACCTCCCTTTATTAAAAGCACTCTTCAGGACGGTGGAAGCAGCTAATCAAAGACCTCCAGCGAACGAAAAATTGCAGAAAGTTACTAGGCGGTAGTGGGAGGTAGAATTTAGTGACCCATATCACGTCCGTCGCCTGGTACGGGATACAGTAGAACATCTTTATACGCTTACAGGTCAGATTCTTTCAAACCTCAAGACGCTTGGCAAACTTTTGATTGATCAGAAATACAACTTGTTTGATTCATCGAAGCAATATTTTACTGGGAAGGTTTCATTGGTCATATGCATTTTATTTGCAGGCGTGGATAGCACAATATGTGACCAGTTCAATCGTGTTGTCCAGTTTGAGCCTTACATACCACGTGATGCACTTGTATTAAAGACCAAACAGCCGATATTTGGTTGCACAGAGGAAACCAAGGGAGTGCAATCACTACCAGGATTGTGGCCTGCACTCGATGAAGTTTTGCGTACAATGTCATGTAGCCTACTATCGTTAGATGTTGACGCTGAGGAGAAAAGGTTGAGCGAAGTGATCGCGGCAAATTTGGTCAACATTCGTGCAAAGCGCAGTGAGCTGTCATCGTTTGAACTAATCAAAGCACTTAGTATTTCACCTTCGTTCTGCGGTGCTATCAGTAATTCGGTTACAATGAGCTCTTCGAAAATAGAACGAACAGTTCCATCTAAACCACAAAACCCAAACGAGGAAATTTCCAGACGTTTGATGACCCTCTTGTGGTCTCACGTTGGTCTAACAGACTTTGCAATGGCAGCCATGTGTGGAGATGTGGATCAAATGAAACTGTGTTTGGGTAAGTCGATAGTGACATTATAATGTTTTTTTACTAGGTATGCTTTATTAACTTTCAGCCGTGCAATGTTTGTTTATAAAATTGGAGAAACCATAGCAGAATGTTAGTTAGTTTTTTAATAAAGCCGTTAGTCGTTGACCTTTTAGCTCAGGGTTCCGAGTGTGTGAAAGCTAACTCTTTGGTCTCGGACGGTTACCAAAGCAGAATGTACTCGGGATAAGCCTTAACACGATCAAATCACCTACCAACTGTTGGCCACCTAACCACAACTCTCATTATATTTGAAATATGATATAAACTCAGTTGCAACTCTCATGGTTGATAAGCTGAGTTTTTCTGTTTCATTTACCAATTTTAATAAATCTCCAACTGTGCTCTTCAGCGATGGGTAATGCGACTTCCAAGGTTCAAGCTTGCTTCCGAAGACACTTCCATGATATATCTTCGGACGGTCGTGTCATTTACGTATGCCGTCCACTACTGGTTCATGTAATGGACTACTCCACAGCTGATGCTGTCGAGCTTATGCTCAACTATGGTGCTGACCTATCCGAGTTTTACCATGGTAAGTACCCGAAACCTCAAAAAGACAGTAACGTGCTTTTCAGATGGCAAATATTGATCTACGTGTGAATATCCTTTCATCTGTTTTAATTGGCTTTCTTGAGGGGATTATCTCTGATAAGTGTCGCATATCGTGTCAATATATGATGTACTCTTTAGTGGTCAATTCACGAAAACCTCCAATCTAAATCCGTCATAGTTTTTAATCACATTCGGCCAGAGTGCACTCTTAAAATCCCTTTGATCAGCCAACGACTATGACTTGCGCATACATGATGTCACCCTTCTGATTGGTTTTGGTCATTCCAGTGACAAATTATCGATTAGAATTTTGATGTCATGCCTTAAAAGTTACGACCGGACATGGGTTCGAAAGTTCTAATTGTCATGAAAGACGCAGATCATGGAGTCACAACTTCCAGTTATCAGGCACATTAGTTGATTACATAAATTCTGCTTCCCATTTCTTCTTATCTTTACTGTATTGTTTAGAATATCACAGTGATTTTTCTATTGGGGAGAGCGTGGTCCCAACGCTTTGATAAGTGTTCTAACTGACGCTTTATCACTTTACTGGCGGGCAACAAAACAATTCAAAACGGGCTGAAGCAAAAGATAGCCATAGATGAGGCCAGCTCGGATAAACTGTCTTCATTGATTGTTCTTATTATTTGCGTGCCTCTGTGTACCCATGGAAAACTAGTTACATTGGAGATTCCTCTAACAGCCCGCGCCAAACGATTCCTAACCATAAGAGCAAGAACGAGCACCGTCACAGGACAGGTTGAATTCAACTGTTTCACGTTATCTCTTCAGCTGTGTACAAACATTCATGTGAAAGTTCGATCAGGACAATGACAATCTTTAAACATCAAAAACACTCGACTAGGCAAAATCAGTGCGAAGGTCAAAGGTCACCAATCACAGTCAGGTTGAACAGAGGG